GGACCGCATGGTTTCGTCTGGGGTTTAGGGTTTAGGGTTTAGGGTTTAGGGTTTAGGGTTTAGGGTTTAGGGTTTAGGGTTTAGGGTTAGGATTGGCGGCTCGAGGGCGAAGACTTCGAAGACTTGATTCTCTCATGTCATGCCCCTAGTTCCCGGACTCTGCAGGCACTTGAGGTAGTGCGCGCACCACAGATCATGATCCCTGTTGTTGCACCGTACGACCCTAGACCCTAAACCCTAAACCCTAAACCCTAAATCCTAAACCCTAAACCCTAAACCCTAAGCCCTAAGCCCTAAACCCTAAATCCTAAACCCTAAACCCTAAGCCCATTTAGTGTGAGCCTGAGCAGGAGGCGCGACCGACTTTGGTCCACAAGCACAGCCTGGAACTGCGTGACATGTGGCCGCTTGCAGGCATTGCAGGGTTTACTTGGAGGTCACGGGTAGTAGAAGTAGGGTTATGGTTTAGGGTTTAGGGTTTAGGGTTCAGGGTTTAGGGTTTAGGGTTTAGGGTTTTAGAAGTAGGGTTATAGTTGAAGTCCCTATTTAGGGTACTTATCGGCTTACTTCTAACAACCCACCTACTTCCCATGCCCGTGCTGCGCGCATGGCTTCTGTATCCCTAGACGGAAAAGGCCCAGAGGTTCGAAGGACTCTTTTTTAGGGTTTAGGGCCAGGCGGTTAGGGGTTCGGGCTTCAGGGTTTAGGGGAGTCTGGGGTTGAGCCCTAGGGTTTAGGGGAGTTTGGGGTTGAGCCCTAAACCCAAAGCCCTTGTTTGACCCAAAGCCAAAGGGGTGGAGGCTCGGCTACACCGACTGTGGCCACCCACGGAGCTACTCTAGGTTCCTTGCGGGGGTTAGGGTTTGGGGTTTAGGGTTTAGGGTTTAGGGTTTGGGGTTTAGGGTTTAGGGTTTAGGGTCCTTACGGGAGGGCGTTCAAGGTGATTGTGCAACCCAAGGTTTCCCTAGCGCTTACTACTCCTACAGGCTCCCTAAGCTTCCCTAAGCTTCCCTAGGTACATACCCCCCCCCCCCCCCCATGACCCCCCCCTCCCTCAAGAACCCTGAAAGAATTAAATCCTCCGGGCAGATGGATCCTGAGAACAGAAGCAGCCCAGGAAGCAATGCTACCATGTGGGCAGAGTCAGCCGACGCAAGCGCACAGACTCTGCCATGGATCTCTGGCTGCAGTCGTTGAAACCCTAAACCCTAAACCCTAAACCCTAAACCCTAAACCCTAAACCCTAAACCTGCAAAACCCGAAACCTTAAACCCTAAACTCGTAGGTTTCAGGGCTTTGGGGCTTTTGAGGGCTGCAAGCCCCAACGTACTCGGGGGATGAAGGACCCGAGGCGCCATCTCTCCGCGTGTTTTTGTGGTCAGGGTGAACCCTATAAGTCTGATAAACTACTAGGTTTAGGGCTTGGGGTTTAGTGTTTAGGGTTTAGGATTTAGGGTTTAGGATATAGGGTTTCGGGTTTCGGGTTTCGGGTATTTTGCTTAAGAACCCCCCCCCCCCCCCCAGAAAAAATCAAATACATCTATATTCTTCCTTATCAGGGCAATATGGGGATTACAGTCTCATTTGTTGAGGGAGGGGGGTCTTAAGCAAGCAGTAGTAAACGCTAAAACCCTCCCCTAAACCCTAAACCCTGAACCCTAAACCCGAAACCCTAAACCCTAAACCCTAAACCCTAAACCCTAAACCCTAAACCCTAAACCCTAAGCCCTAAGCCCTAAGCCCTAAGCCCTAAGCCCTAAGCCCCAAGCCTAAGCCACGACTGTCTTTTGTTTAAGGGGAGCCAAATCTTGTCCAGTGAGTTGAATCTTGAGCAACGAGTTTGGGCTCAGGTTCAAGAGTTTTTTAGGGGTTTAGTAAGGGTGTTTAAGGGGGGCTGGGGTTCGGGGTTTAGGGTTAAGGGTGGTTAGGGGTTTAGGGTTAGAGTTAGAGAAAACCCTGAACACGAAACCCAACACCCGCTAAACCCTAAACCCTAATTAGGAGTTAGGGAGTTTAGGGTTTAGGATTTGGGGCTCACCGGTTCAGGATTCAGGCATAGGGTCTAGGGCTATAGCACGTGCCATGCACAAAAGCCCCCGTCCTCCGCTCCCCCCCCCCCCCCCCCCCCCCCCCCCCCCCTCTAAACTCTGAATTGCATCAACCATACACCCTAAACCCTAAACCCTGGGAACTCGGGAGTTTAAGGGTTTGGGTCTCAAAGGTTCCCCCTAAAGCCTGATTACTCATCTCGAAAACCTATAAACCCCAAAGCCCAAATACTTACTGTTGGCTAGCAGGGAATCAGGGAATTCAGGCCCCGTATATATATATATACATATTCATATTTACATTTATATTTATATCTACATTTATATTTATATTTTATATTTTATATGTATTTATTTATTTTTTGATTTATTTTCTGTATTCGTTTATTTATATACACATCTATATACATATATATGTATATATATATATATATATCCTTTCAGGGATTGTATAGGGGTCCTACATGTACGCTTAAAGGGTCATATATACATATAACAAGAGCGGCTATAGTGTACCTCATTGTAAGTAAAACCCTAAGCCCCTTGGGTAGACCAGCTCGTGGAGGGTCATCCGGGTAGCTATGGATAAGTGGTTTAGGGGTTTAGGGTTTAGGGTTTAGGGTTTAGGGTTTAGGGTTTAGGGTTTAGGGTTTAGGGTTTAGGGTTTAGGGTTCGACTAGTGCCAGAGTAGGCCCTGTATGCCATGTTTTAGGGTTGAGGTTCCCTTATAAGCCCCTTCAAAACCAAAAAGGGCACCAGTTTTTCCTAGGTTACTCTTGGGTCGAGTGGAGAAATCCCTACTTGGAGGTTCATGGGTGCTTACAGGTAGTTCTACCCACTTGTAATTGCAGCTGCACTAACTTTGCAGTAGCCCTACTCAGAAGTATTCATGAGCCTGCAAGCAAGGGTTTAGGATTTAGGGTTTAGGATTTAGGGTTTAGGGTTTAGGGTTGAGGGTTTAGGGTTTAGGGTTTAGGACCCATGTGCCAACAAAGGGGGGGCTCCTGGCTCAGCATGTGATGATGTTTATTGAGTAGTTCTGAATCACTACCCTAAACCCTGAACCCTAAACCCTAAACCCTAAACCCTAGTTTGGGGTTTAGGACTTGGTGTTTGATAACTATAGTATAGCCGTCAGTGGCTAAAACCGGCTCGGGGAGGGGGTTGATACCCATGCCAGAGGGGTCGGAAGAATTACCGCTGGCATTCCCCTTTATGGGCCCTAAACACTAAACCCTAAACCCTAAACCCTAAGCCTTAAACCCTAAACCCTAGTCGCCGTAGAATTCTATTACAATCGTTCCCCCACAAGCCTTTTCTATTTTTTCTTGTGGACCCCGGAATCGGCTTAAACCTAAACCCTAAACCCTAAACCCTAGACCCTAAACCCTAAACTCTCAACCCTCAACCCTCAACCCTAAACCCTAAACCCCTAAACCCTAAACCCTGAACCCTGAACCCTAAACCCTAAACCCTAAACCCTACTTGGAGCTACCTTTGCGAGCTGCCAAGGAGTCGCGGCGCTTCAACGAGATTTTTCTGGAAGAGACACCCGTAGCCGATTCGGGGGAGCCTGCCCGGTCGGTGTTGTGGGGTTTAGGGTTTGGGGTTTGGGGTTTGGGGTTTTGGGGTTTGGGGTTTGGGGTTTGGGGTTTGGGGTTTGGGGTGTGGGGTTTGGGGTTTTGGGGTTTGGGCTTTGGGCTTTGGGCTTTTGGGGTTTGGGGTTTGGGGTTTGGGGGTTTGGGGTTTGGGGTTTGGGGTTTTGGGGTTTGGGGTTTGGGGTTTGGGGATTAGGGTTTGGGGTTTGGGGTGTGGGGTTTGGGGTTTGGGCTTTGGGGTTTGGGGTTTGGGCTTTGGGCTTTGGGGTTTGGGGTTTAGGGTCTGGGGTTCAGGGTTAAGGTTTTAGGTTGTGGGATTTTTGGAGACGGGTTGTGTTGTGTGGTGCTGTGTTGTGTATGGATCGGCTTTTGAAGACAGATATCGCAAGCGCGAGGATTCAGATTGCTGCGAAATTATTGACCACTAGTTTTGGTCGGGTTCCCGTGAGTGCCTTGTTCCGCATCTGGCAATCCAGCCCAACGATGCGGCCCAGATGTGTGGAAACTGTCGGTGCACTCCTTGACCTGTACCTGGTGTACCTGCAACTTCGATATTCAGTTTCTGTCTAATGTTTGAGGTGCTTCGCTGTTTCGTATCACATCCAGCAGTCTTACCCCTCTTATGAAGATGAAGCTCAACCCGTTCAGAGGGCTCATTTGCGTGACTACATCTCTGTGGGTTGGGCTGGGGGTCTGCGGGTGGCATGCTGTGGGGAGTGCGCAGGTGTGCGGGTGTGGATGGGTGGGTGTGGTGCGTGTTCAGGCAGTGCCAAGCCCACTTCAAGCTAGCGATTCGCGAAGAAGCTTTGTTCCGCCGTTCCCTGCATACAGTGCTGCTTTGGGACATCGTGCGGGAAGGTAGGTTTGCGTTTGGGGGTGTCAGGCCCAGACCCCCTGGGAGGATCCCAACAGTAGTTCCCCTGAAGGCTTCCTAAGAATGCCCCAGTAGTAGTAGAGGGTACCTATTTGGGGGGGTTCTACTTTTGGATCCTCCCCAGGGGTCTGGGGGGTTGTTTCTCAGGGTTAGTGACCTTATTACCCTAAACCCTAAACCCTAAACCCAGGGTTAGTGGGCTTGTTAACTCGCATGCTCTGACCCCCTTGGGGTTCCGTACACCTTAGTAAACTACTTGGGCCCCAAGGTCCCTACATAGGAAGTAAGTTGAGGCCCAAGTCTTCCGCTATTTAGGTGCATGGACACTTGGGGAGAATGTTTAGGGTTTAGGGTTTAGGGTTTAGGGTTTAGGGTTTTGAAGTACTTCGTGGCATCTGTGTATGGATGCTCTTCCTGCGGTGCCACTGGCTTGCGTTAACCAGACATGCGAGTTAACAAAGCCTCCCACCTGTGACCGCAATGGCTTCTGCGCACGCCGCGCACGTCTGCCGGACGCAGGAACAAGCAGGCTTTCATCTTGCATGGTGCTATGAGATGTGTAGGAAAGCTGACCACAGCGACACCTTGGGCGAGCTGCAATGCATAGCTGCACGTTTCGGATCGAAACTGTTCTTGCACAAAAAGTCCACAGGCTTTCTGGCATGGCTGGGGAAAGCAGAGAAGAGCGTCTTTCTCTTGGCAGACTGGCGTGAAGCGAAGCCCGTCGTTGAAGGTTTTGGAGGACTTGACCGCTTGACAGCGCAGCAAAGCCAGCTTCGGATGTGCATTCTGGCGCAATCCGACCAAAGCTTCTAGGACCGGGAGTATAGGGCCCTTTTTGTTTTTCCTTTTGTTTAGGGTTGGGGGTTCCCTTGTAATCCCCCCTAAAAGCCCAAAAAGGGTGCCCTTTTTTATTCCTAGGTTACTCCCGGGTCTAGGCTTTCAACGCGCCACAGAGTGGACCGCAAGGGTCCGGAGTTCGCACGGCATCGACATTCTTGTGCTGGATGGCTTCTCTCATAAAGGTGTGGAAGACTTCATCGCGCGAAGTCTCGATGAGACCAGTTCCTGTGCAGGAGGGGATATGGATGCTGATTCAACCCGAGCAGTTTCTGAAGACCTCGCAATGGACAACTCTTTCAACGGCTATGCGTTCGGTCTCTCTCTTCCCAGAGTCCTGGCAGCCGAGTGGTACCCTTTACCCTTTTATTTTTTTGGTTATGGGTTCCTGGGTCCCCTTATTATATAATTAACCAACCCCAAAAAAAAGGGTGCCCTCATTATAGTATGGTTACTGGGCTACCAAGGAATTTTGAGGGCGGTGCAAGACCCGGAGCAGGCAGCGAGACTCGAGCAGACGATCAAGGGCACCATGTGGCAGCTCTACGAGGACTGAGTTTAAGCGTCCTCTGCAAGGTGATAGCAGAATCGAATATCCCTAAGGGTACCCCCTAAACCCTAAACCCTAAACCCTAAACCCTAAACCATGTACCCTAAACCATGTACCTCATTAAATTGTATCCTTGGGCCCCAACATCCCTGTATAGGAGGCAGTTTAAGGCCAAAGTATTCCCCATATTTTAGGTACATGGACCCGGGGGGTATCGCAAGAATGTTCTCCAGTCTATCTTCATTCTTGCCGCGAAGCAAGAAGGCCAGATTCTTCCAAGTCGGGTCACGATGCGGTACTTGGGGCTGCAAGCCTGGTCTCGACATTCTTAGTAGATGAATGAGTACACTTTACACTTTTGGGGATAGTAGAATCCCCTATAGAACTGAAAGTGTACACTTTTGGGGGGCCTATGAACTCAGGGTTCATGTGGCTGAATGCCATACGTCGCTCAGTAGGACAGCAAAGTTACTCTTTCTGCAGCTGACCCGCATCATTCTCAGCATGAAGCATTTCGGAGTACGCTCCGTCCGTAGTCTTCGGCTACCGAAACTACTTTCCGCACCGCCCTCAGAAGCAGTGGTTGGTCTTGTTCTTGTCTTTGCAGCTTGCAAACTACTTTTTGCAAGACGGTTACCCAAAGGCTCCTATGTAGTACCTTTTTGGGGTAGTATATTAGAATCTCCTATAACTAACCCAAAAAGGAACTAAATTAGGAGCCTTTGGGTGCAAACTACTTTTTGCGAGACGGATAGTGAGGCGGCCTCGTCAAAACATGTCACAAGGTCTCCGAAGGCTGGGTTCCTGGGTCTTGGAGTACCATACTGTAATACTTTTTTTGGTTCTGGGTTCCTATTATAGCTACTTATACCTAAAAAGTATATTTTTTTCAGGGTTTACTCCAAAGCTAAGGTTCAGTGCTGGCAGTGGCAGTTCTTCTTGTCGAGGGTTTAGGGGTTTTGGTTTTGGAGGTTAGGGTTTAGGGTATAGGGTTTGGGTTTAGGGTTCAGGGTTCAGGGTTCAGGGTTTAGGGTTTAGGGTTCAGGGCTTAGGGTTCAGGGCTTAGGGTTTAGGATTCAGGGTTTAGGGTGAATGGGTTGGCCATGCTCCAAAGCTTCAATGAACTCCGTAGGACTGCCAAAATGGGTTAAGGGCTTAGGGTTTAGGGTTTAGGGTATGGGGTACCGCCCGTGTTTTTTTAACAGCGCCCCCCTTGGATCAGCCCATTGCCCAGAAGAGTTTTACTGTTCTATGTGCGCCCCCTCATTCTTCCTAAACCCCCCGAACCCCCTAAATTCTGGGCCCTAAGCCTCTGAACCCCCCTAAACCCTAAACCCTAAACCCGAAAACCATGGCCAAGGAGTTGCTTGCAAAGATTCGTCCTGAGTCCGGAAAGCCGAGTGCAGTTGGGTTGGGCGCTTATGGCGACCATCTTCATTGCATCTGGGGCTTGAGAAGTTAGGGGGTTTACATAGGGTTTAAGGCGTTTAGGGGGGTTTAGAGGTTTGGGGTCTAAGGGGTTTAGGGGCTTAGGGTTTTTGGGGTTTAGGGGTGGGGGTTTCGGGTGATTTTCCCCACGGGTCCTTCTGCGAGTACGTTGGGCGTCGAGCCTCCGTCACAGGCTCTCGCACAAAAGCCTCTACCCCGGATATTCTCCCCATGTTTAGGGTTCAGGGTGTAGGTTGAGGGTCTTGGGGTGTAGGGCCATAGAAATTCGGAAGGGTGAGAATAATTTCGCACATGTGGGGTTGAGGACTTCAGGCTCGGGCCTCAAAGTCTTACGGCAACCCTGAACCCTAAACCCAAACCCCAATTTCAACGAGGTTTAAGTCTTAGGGTTTCGGGCTGAGGGCTTACCCTTGGAGCGCGCGCAAATCTTGAGGGCCTCCTAGTCCTAGTCCCCGCGAGGGAGGGGTTTAACAAAGGGGGAAGTGAGTCAGTGCAAAAGGGCATCGTTCCGTCTGCTCATCCAAAAGTCACCGAAGCATTAGGGTTTAGGGTTTAGGGTCTAGGGTTTTAGGGTTTAGGGTTTAGGGTTTAGGGTTTAGGGTTTAGGGTAGGGTGCAACCTTAAGGGTTCCATGGTAGAACGCCCAGACCTATTATGATACTCCACAGGCTTTGCGAATCAGTCCACATACACCTTGCTGCCTTGGGCGAAGAACTGTACTCCCCAGCGGGTCCGGTATATTTCAAAATGTAGATTTTTTGGATGCAATTGATACATCACCCTACACCCTAAACCCTAAACCCTAAACCCTAAACCCTAAACCCTAAACCCTAAACCCTAAACCCTAAACCCTAAACCCTAAGCCCTGCCAAAAGAGAATGAACATCATGGCAACACCGGGCTACATGTGAGCCTCATCGCTCACAAGCTGAAACACGAGGCCCCTGAACCCTTACTGAATCTTCAAGACCAGGTTCCGGGTTTAGGGGCGTTTAGGGTTTAGGGTATAGGGCTTAGGGTTTAGGGTTTAGGGTTTAGGGTTTAGGGTTTAGGGTTTAGGGTAGCCCCAAACCCTAAACTTCACAAGGCTGGAATCCTAAACCCTAAACCCCAAACTCTTCGAGCAAGGTGTGGGACATGATCACGATCCCTCTCGAGTTCTTCCCCATGACAGAGTGGCTTGGCAGCTCTCGGACTTTGTTGTTGGGGTTTAGGGTTTAGGGTTTAGGGTTTAGGGTTTAGGGTTGAGGGTGTAGGGTTTAGGGTTTAGTGCTTAGGGTTTAGGGTTTAAGGGCTTATGCAGGGCTTGGTTTCGAGGGTTTAGTATAGGCTTCCTCTGTTGAATGTAGATTCGCTTCACGCGTTATAGAAAGTCCGGCACGTGAAAGCCCATTAAGAAACCAGAGTCCCTCAACCAGGGTTTAGGGGTTAGGGGTTAGGGTTTGGGGTTTAGGGTTTAGGGTTTCGGGTTTTGGGTTTCGGGTTTAGGGTTTGGGTTTAGGGTTTAGGGTTTTGGGTGGGGTGCTTAACGTGAGTGCAGATGATGGGCCCGTCAGGCCCTACGATCCTAAAGCCCTTCAGCCTCAAATCAAACCCTCCCTCATTCCTCAAACCCTATACCATGTCAACTCAGAAAATCCTAGCAACCCTGAAGCCCGACGAGTGTACCCAAAAGTACGCCATGGTATCCTTATGAACTCTAGCAGCCCTCTAACCCTAAGCCCTGAATTGGCGTGGAGTCCTAAAACTCTATGACCCTCAACGACGAAGTCCCTCAACCCTCAAACACCCAAAACCGAATCTCCCTACGCCTTCACCCTAAACCCTACAACCCTAGACCCTAAGAGCATGCAAGCCCTCTGAGAGCCTAAATCCCTAAACCTTATCAGTCCTAAACCCAAGTCCCTGTACCCCAGAGGAAAGGGTTTAGGGTTCAGGGTTCAGGGTTCAGGGTTTAGGGTTTAGGGTTTAGGGTTTAGGGTTTAGGGTTTAGGGTTTAGGGTTTAGGGTTTAGGGTTTAGGGTTTAGGGTATGAAAGCCAAATGAGCTCAGGTTTGCACAGCAGGTCGACAACGTCGCCTTGGCCTCTCGGAAGCAACCTTTTTTGGCTTTAGGGTTTAGGGTGTAGGGTTTAGGGTTTAGGGTTTAGGGGTTGCAGCTGTTAGGGGGGTTTAGGGTTTCGGGCCGCGACGTGGGAGGCACTTGTTGGTTCTTGGTTGCTTTTTAGGGCTTTGGGTTTCAATTTTGAGGGGTTACTCTCAGGACTGACCACTTCATGATGTCTAAACCCTATAAACCGTAAAAAAACCCTATGCCCAGCACCCTATACCCTAGAAATGTTAAACCACCCGAAAGCCCTATACCCTATACGCTGAAAACCCTAAACCACCCTAAAACTCTAAACCGTCGGATGCGGTGTGGAAAGTGAGGGCTCCCAAAGGTTCCATCAAAAGGGTGTGGGGTTTAGAAGGGTGTAAATAACCCTAAACCCGATACTGGCGACCCTAAATCCTACCTAGCCCTCACCAGAACCCAACAGGGTTTTGGGTAGAAATTCGGGTTTGGGGTTTAGGGTTTAGGGTTTAGGGTTTAGGGTTTAGGGTCTAGGGACCCTAAACCCAAGAGGATATTAAACATACTATTTTTATTAAGGCTCTAAGAGGAGTATAGCTTCAAGGACCCTCCACTCCACCCCACCCTGTAAAACCGTCTGAGACTATAAGAAAACAACCAATAAACCCTATAAGTCCCTTTTGAAAAAAACCCTGTTCACAGAAGCCCTACAACAACCCTCTAAAACCATGCAAAAGAAACAAACATAAAACCTCATAGAAACCGAGAAAAGCCCTATAAAACCGCGTAGAAAACCTATAAAACCCCATGAAACCCCATAGAACCCTAAAAACGGCACCACCTCCACAGAAACCCCATAAACGCCCCATACAACCAAGAAACCTCTAGAAGCTCCGAAACCCTAAAGAAACCCTATCAGTCCCGAAAAGCGCCCGATAAAGACCCCAGAGAAAACCTATAGAAAGCCCTTTGAAACCCATGAAGCCCTAAAGCCTAAACCCTAAACCCTAAACCCGAAACCCGAAACCCTAAACCCTAAACCCTAAACCCTAAACCCTAAACCGTACCATATCAACCCAAGGTTTCCCTGATCTTCTGGACGATCGACGTTCCCTTACACCTGGTCTTCGGCGTGCAGATCGCAGGCGTCACAGAGACTTGGCCTTTTCGCTTGGCTGGGAAGCCAGGGAGCTTTTCATGTCGGGTTTGAAGGGTTTAGGGTTTAGGGTTTAGGGTTTAGGGTTTAGGGTTTAGGGTTTGAAGGGTTTGGGGTTTCAAGTTTAGGGTTTAGGGTTGGGGTTTGAGAAGGGTTTAGGGCTTGCGGTTTGTGGTTTTGATAAGAGTTTGGGGTTGGGGTTTTGGGTTTGCAGTTTAAGGTGGGGTTAGGGCTGAGGGTGTGTGCTTTTAGCGTTTAGGGTGCTGGTACAACGGGATCCTTTGATTAATGCCGGCGAAAGCGTTTAAACCCTGCAACCCCTTAACTA